GCTCTTGGCTGCAATGGGGAGGGAGCACCCAAGAAGGAGGGGCCCTTGAAATTCTGCACCCCAGGGTCCTTGCTTGTCTTATCTTCATCCAGGCTTAATGCTTCTTCTATATTGTTCCATCAGTATCATAAACAATGCTCAAGGTAGAGTACTGATTTAATAACTCATCTTTGCTTCTATGAATTTCCTGAGGTCTGGAATGGGGCCTTATTACCATAGCCCTGAGCTTGGCAGCAACAAGTACTGAACAAATGAGAGAATGCACCTTAGCAAGGATAGTGGAAGGGGAAACTTTGCTGATCTGTCTGGGACAGTATCATAAAACCTAAACTGGCACTCTCTTTAATAGAATTGGAGCAGTTAGAACTTTATCCTTGGCCTACTTGTTGGAATTTCTTAATTTATTCATTTTCTTGTTCATGCATTCATTTAGTCAACTAATCCAATTAACCAAACTACCATCTCTCCATTCAACCAATGAACCAGCCAGCCAACCAACCAATCCACCCACACATCAAACTGTGATGTCCCACATTTAAGTCATCTGGAATGTTCCCTTCTTCAGGAAGCCTTTCCTGATTTCTTCCCTGTTTCTATACTTGGATGCTCCACACATGTCATCTAGAGAGAGTTGACAGGCTACTTTGTTTCTCCTGCTGGACTGTCAACATCTGAATGTGGGGATGAGTGGTCATTGACTCTACCTCCTTCAATGTGGCTCAAAATTGTTCCAATAGGTAATGGTGGAGGTGCATTACTGACCTCGCTAGGAATTGTGTTGGGGAGTGAAGTATGAGGTCTTTCCCTCACTCAGGAAGCTTACAGAAGAGCAGGATTTGTGACTTAGCAAATAGGAAGGGTCATCTAAAAATGGCGGCAGTATCTGTCCCAGATAGATAATGCTACTTGAGGTGCTATAGGATCTTAGAGGAGATGGTTTCCTGGATGAGGCAGGGCTGAGCTGAGCCTCAAAGGCCGAGTGGCATTTGAAGGTGCCAACAGGAGGCCAGTTGTCTTTTGCTGGGTCTGGAACATACTCATGGCTCTTCTCCACTTCCTCCTGGCCTCAGACTTGGGGGAGAGAAAATTGGGCCTATATCACTGGGGTCTCATCTCTGAAGACTGAGGCGGCGTTCTTTTTCTCCCTCAGCCCTCTTCTTGAGGGCCTGCCTTGGATTCTGCTACCTTTGCAGGCATTTGTGGATGATGTGTAGTTATGGTGGGCCATGGAGAAAGTGGCTAAACTCAGAGCTCCCCACAAGGATCGGAGAAGGGCATTGGGATTAAAAAAAATAATAAAAAGATAGACATTCTTGTTCCTATCCTGAGCCTAACAGATGGACCGGATACCCTGGGCTCTGGGGTGAAAGGAGCTGAACTCTTTCCCCTGGAAAGTCCTATCCCCTCTTGCCAGAGTTGACCCCTTCTCTCATGATTCCTAGCTGTTTTTCCCAAATGGTCTTCCTGGGATGGAATTCTGCCGTGACTCACTTTCAAAGCCCCACGCTGGAAAGACGGCCTTTGAAGCCTACTTCTGTCAGGGGCGTTTGGGGCAAAGTTCTTCAAATCACAAAGATGGCCTGCCAGGGCAACTTCCTGTAGAGCTAGCTTCTGCATGTGTGCCTCATTCCAGAAAATTCTGCTTTGTTTTCTCTGCTCATTCCACAAGAAGTTACTAAAGCCATGGGATTCCTTTCATTTCCTGTTGAGGCCAGTTTTGTGGCCATGGGGCTCTCAGAAGTGGGGCTTTTTCCCTGACAGAGTAAATAGTTTTTGATCTCAGTCTAATACATGGTATTTAATTTTGTTCAACTCAACAAAGCATTTATAGAGTGCCTCTTGCTTGTTCAAATGGTGTTGGGGAGCCCTTAGGAGGCTGAGACCACCGTAGACATGCATGCCACAGGATTGGGGGGCTCGGGGGGAGAGGCAAGTGACAGGGGGACATGGCAGAACACCATGCAGAGAGTCTGGATTGCATCAGGAGTAGTAAAGCTCTTGGTTCTACCTAACAGGCCCTGTTAAAAGAGCTTTAGATGTCGTATCTTATTTAATCCGGTCACCAACTCCAGGTGGGGTATTGGGTCTACTGGACAGGTGAGGAAACGAGGCACAGAACCTCCAACAAGTGTGCATTGATGCAGGCTGTCTGGCTCGAGAAGATTTCTGAGTCCACCATGATCTTCAGGCCCTGCCTGGAGATGAAGTCCTCTTGGGGAGTGAGCAAGGACCTGGAGAGAGAGAGAGAGAGAGAGAGAGAGAGAGAGAGAGAGAGAGTGTGTGTGTGTGTGTGTGTGTGTGTAAGGACCTGGAGGAGAAGGGACTGGCGGCCTGGACAGGTGTCTTAGGAGCCAAGTTTTCGACTGTAGGTAACAGAAATAGAAAGGTCTTCTGCATTTTGGGTTGTGCTGTGGTTGTTCTCTTGCCTGAGGGAGCCATGCTTCAGGAATAGTCCTTTCAGGGCTGATGGCTGGCAGTGGGGCCCCCAGCCTAGAAGGCAGGCAGGCTCTGCTCTTACTGCCGGAGGACGGAGGAGGCAGGGATCTCAGAAGAGGCCACAGGATGTGTACGGGGTACAAGGAAGTTTGTGGGCCTGGAGGAGAGGGCTGGGCACACAGCAGGGAGGGGGGACTGGAAAGGGGAGACACTGGTTGGATCAGGAAGAAAAAAGGAGCTTGTTTGTGGACACTTTCAGAGAAGGTTTTTTTTTTTTTTCTATAGGTCGCAGGGAACATCAGCTGAGATGCTGGGAGAGGAGGGCCTTTGAGAGGGGCTGGCTTGTGCTAATAGATGAAATACCTGGATGGGCACACTGCCATGAGGGACGGATAAAGGTGCCGTGGCTAGAATCCTGCAGTGGGGGACCCATGGGCTTGGTGTGGGACAAGGAACAGAAGTGGTCAGAGGAGGAAGAGGACTGGGGTGTCCTGAGTCCAGCTCGGTAGAGGGGAGGGGAGAGACGGTCTCCAGGAAGCAGGAATTTGGCAACTTTGGATAGTTAGGGGAGGTTAGAAGGTCACTGGGATGGGTTGGGGGATCCTCGTTGGCTTTGGAGAGAATACTTTGAACAGAGTCCTGGGAACAGAAGGTTGACAGTCGCGTGTTGAGGAGTAGGAGGGATGAGGACACACAGAATGGGAGCCTTTCTGAAGAGCTTGAAGGAGAAGGGAGCCTAGGGACCAGGTGGCAGTTCAAGGTGGTAGAGCATTAAGGGACAGGGCCCTTTGCTCGGGTGAGATGTTTGGCAGCCAACGTCTGGGCGCTAGCAGCAGAGCACAGAAATCTGCCATCCACAGACCCTCTGGGGAGGCTGGGTGTGTGCTGGTGCAGGGTCCGTGAGGGAGCAGCGCCAACAATACTGGATCCATTATCTGCTGCCCAACTGTAATGATGGGCCTGGGGCATGAGGAGTTCCCAGAGTGCCTTTCAAATTCCCGATGAAAGAGTCAATTCTGCTCAGCAGAGTTTCTGAGTTAACTCGAACTTCAGTTCAATTAGGCAAAGCTTTGTTACGTTGTTGAGAACTGCTATTTGGGAAACATGGCATTTTATTGTATTGCTGGACTTTGAAACTCAGCTCACCATCTTTAAGATGTTCAGTAATTCTTGGCACGGTGAGATGGAAAGGGCCTCGGATTTAGAATGGAACAGATTGGGGTTCAAATCCCAATTCTGCCACATATGAACAGGGTGACCTTGGGCAACTTGTTTTGTAACCTCCTTGTAGCTTCGTTTCTTCATCTAAAGGGTGGGATGGTAGCTGGGTATGTAGAGTGCTGAGCATGCTCATGGCTCTGGGTTCCATCCCAGAACTAAGTGGGAAGTGGGGCGGCGAGTGGAGAGGGATCTAATATATATATATATATATATATGGTGTTTGGCCCACAAAAGTTACTTTAATAAATGTTAACCACCTCCCTTGCTCTTTTGTTAATCAAAACACCCATTATAAAAGGAAAGGAGTGGATTCCTGAATCGATGGGTATTCTAGAGGGAAGAAGCAGGTTGGCAGATCATGGAAGACTGTGTCAGTTAAGAAGGAATACATGTTCAGATTCACTGTGAAGCTGTGGGCAAGGGAAGTGACGGCCTGAGTTCCTCGTCCCTGTGACTCTGGGCAAGTCTCTCCCCAGGCTCCAGGCACACAGTAGGTCCTCCAGGAACATTTGTGGATCAAACAGATTGGCCTTCCTTGGGGCGTTAACTCTTCCTTGCAGTGAAGGTCAAGGGGAAGCAGGGTCTACTTGAAAGCTCTGGCCACTGGCACTGATGTGCCCCCTCACCCCTTCTCTTCCTGAAGGCCTGCCCCTGACTCGGACACTAAGGCGTGGACCTCCGTCTGGCCTTACTGCTTCTGCCTCGGGTCCAGGGCTTTGTTGGCTTCTGTGAAGGGGCAGGCCAAATGGAGAGTCTTTGAGAGGAGGCTGGAGTTCCTATAAAGTGACAATTTGGCTCCCTGTGGCCTCTGAGTCACTGGGTCGAGCCTCTCCTCCTTTGAGTACAAGTTCTTTTGAATGGGAAGAAAAGATAAAAGTGTCAGGGTTGGGAAGAAAAGATAAAAGTGTCAGGGTTGTAAAGCGGACCCCGTATTCGCCCCGTCGGAGGCCCAGAGGCTGTGTTGGGGCTGTGTTCCAAGTCTCAGAGTCACTTCCTTTTTTCAGGTCCATCTCCTCACAGAGCAGCGACACTCTGTTCACATTCCACAGGCTGCTGTTAGGAGGGAAAATGAATTTACAAGGGCATTTTGAAAGGTGCCTAGGAGCCAGCCCTGGAGCTGCCAAGAAGATCCATCCACTCCACAGACTTCTACAACCCAGAGTCTCCCCAACTCCCCCACCCAGCTCCCCAGTAAATCTCAAGTTGCTTTCTAGCCTGGAGGTGGATGATCAGAGATTCTTAAAAGTCAGTGCTCCCCAGGAATATATTAAATGAAGAAAAGAGAAGTTCCAAAGTATCCACCGTAGATACAAAACATAAGCAGATCTGGTCAATTTAATAAAGACATTACAACTGATTTATTATTATTCTTCTTTTTGAAGAAAATAACTCCCAAAGGGCTCGTGGCCCAGTTGCAGGGACATGGGAAAGCTCAGACAAGGCTCCTAGTTTGGAAAAGTGTTGTCATACAAATGAAGTCCTCGAGGATTATGCAGGAGAACATCCTCGCTCTTTGGGGTTCAGGGGTGGAGTGTCATGATGTTACAATTTGCTTTCAGATGGTTCAGTAGAGCAAAACCCCAACCCCCCACAACCAGTTTTTTTTTTTTGTGTGTGTGTGTGTGTTGAAAAAAAATGAGCCAGATATCAACTGTCACTATAACTAGTATGCATTGTATTGTTGCTTGAATTTCCTTATTTTTTTCAGTTTTCAAAGTAAAGTAAAAGTAGAAAACACACAGAATAGATAGAGAAAATGAATAGTTCATGGAATCTTTCTCTTGTCTCTCTCTGGTAAGGATCATTAAGAGATGTAACAAGGTTAGAGTGTGTGTCATGGAGTGCTGGAATCTGAGTGGGTTGATGGAGTACAACACGGGCTGGCTTCAGAAACTCTCAGGAACCCCCCGGATGCAGCCCAAGAGTACAATTATGGTAACTCCTTCCTTGGTTACATAGGAGCATCCGTAAGTCCTGTGACTTCCAAGGAGTCAGCGGCTGTCAGAGAATCGACAGCGCTCACATATTTTCCAGATGCACAGAAAGCAGCTCTCTCTCTCTGTGTTGTCTGGTGCTGATTCCCCACCTCCCTCCCCAGATCCAGCACACCCCATCCACCCTGCTAGTACTGGAATCCTTTCCTGACCCTCTGGATGTTTTCTCCAAACCCCTGATCCTTTGATTACATCCACATCATGAGGTTCAGTGTGACATTTCCAACAGGAGTCTGCCCGACGTGGTTCTAGCTGCCTCAGATGGTTTTATATTTGTTCTGGAAAGAGTTCCAGATACCTTTGGTCAAAGCTCTTCCTGTTGGCCGTTTTACTGGGGCTGTTTCTCGCCCACATGATCCAGAAGGAGTGCAGTCTGTAGGTCCCTGCACATGGCCCCATGGGAAGGGGGACCCTGGCGGGAGGGTGCAGCTTGGAGAAGCAAGGACTCCCAGGGAGTTTGCAGGTTGCTTCCGGCCTCAGCCCCTGTCACTTAGATCCCTGACACTTGGGAATCAGGGACAGCAGAACCTTGCTATGGGATTTTATTCTGCTTTTTTTTTGGGAAAGGAAAAAAGGGGTTGTGTTGCTTAGGTTTGTTTTCCCCACTCTTAGGAAACCAGAGTGTTGGGGATCTGGGAGGGAAACCTGCCCTTGGGCTAAAATGTTGAATACCTCTGTCTTGACACCTTCATGAAGTCAGTCCTGTGTTCCCCTGCTTTAGGGCTCATGGAGTTTCAGCATTGATTTCCCCCTTGAATGGCTGGATTCCCACCTGTGATCCTTGGTGATCCTCCCACCTGCTGGGCTTCCACTCATGAGCTATCCGGTGCTGAGCACCTGGAAACCCTCTAAAGGGCAAGAGGCTGGTAACCTCAGGTGAACAGGAAGGGAAAGGACTCCCAGGCTGGGATGCAAGGACTCTTGTATCCCATTTCAAGTGAAAATGGCTGCCAGGAGAGGCCCAGGAGGCAGCCTCGCTGGCTCAGGGACACATCTAATTTTAGTCCGGGGTGTGCTCCTCTCAAGCTGGCCCCCGGCTTACTCATGGAAATTCCACAGCTCTTGGGTTTAATGTGTGAGTGGTGTAATGCTCAAAGTTTGCAAAGCAACGCATTTCTCTCTCTCTTCTAAGAAATGCTCAGAAAACAGTCAGTCTTCTGTGTTTTGAGAGTAGGTCAAAATTTCCTGGAGATTCCTTTTCCTTGATGGGCAGCGTGGGGTGGAAGGAAGAGTAGCCATAGGAGCCAGCCTTGGTGTGGCTTTTCTCTGTCCAAACTAGGGCAAGACAAAAGAATCCCAGGGTCTCCATGTCTGAAAAGACCTTGAGTCATCCACTTGGTGAAATGGGTCATGGACTCTGGGGATTCATGGGTCAGTAGGATAAATTAATTTAAAAAATGCCAGAGGACTAAGGTCAGGTTCAGAAACAAGATTCAGACACCCATGAAACTTATGCATTAGGGGGTGGCCTCTTTAAGGGAAAGAATAAAGAAGTATCTCATTTTTGCAAATTTTCCAAAAATGCAAGACCATGTGAATACATTTCCAGATTGTCTTGGAAGGGAAGGTCCCTGAAGTGTAAGCCCCTTTACCTTCCTGGTACAACAGAGATTATCCAGGTTATTATCTGCTGGCAAAGAAAGGACCTTGAAACAATTTCAGAAAACTTTTAAAAGTTGAAGTAGGAATCATCTTTTGAAATAAAGGGCCAACTTTTAAAAAAAGTGAACCAATGAAGCTTTTTGAACTGTTTGGCTGTGTTGTTTTTTTTTTTTATTTTCGTTATGTGGTTGTGACCAGTGTGCTGTGGACTGGTTTGTGGACCACCGTCCACTGGTGGGCATGGATACTCTTCCCAGCCTCAGTGTCGTCCTCTGTAAGAACAGGGCTAGCCCATCCCTGGGCTGCTCTCCTCACACGACGTTTGTGAGAATTAAATTTAGCACTTGGGAAAGGAGAAGGTGTTTTCCAGATAAACAATTAACTATTGTAAGGGCAAAACTATAGTATATATTTAGAACCCCCAGAATGTCACAAAAAAGGGAAGTTGAAGCCCAGAGAAGGTGCACAGTACCCAAGGCCACTTGGAGAAAGTCATGAGCTTCCAAAAAATAAGTTGTGTTAAGTACGTGCATCTTGACCTTTCTCAGAGCAAAGGGGCCGATGCTCCCCTCTTTCTGGATGGCTATGGGGCCAGCGCCGGACCCAGAGAGTGCTGCTTCAAACAGGCCGAACGCAGCTCTTTAGTGAGTGCTGGGTTAGGGGAATGTTTTGTGAGTTGGCAATGAAAAGACTTGATCCTTGAAGTTGTTCCATGTTCCCCTTTGGCCTGTTTCACCAAATAGAACTTAGATGGGTTGGATGTTGGGTGGGACTGGGAGAAAGCCAGCCTCTGTCTTGGTGTGGATGTCTTCCATGGATATCTTGGTTGGCCTTTATCAGGACAGCCAAGGGCAAGTGCCCCCACGTGGTTTCTCTTGGTGGCTCAGCAAACGTGTCCATGTAGCTTTCCTGTCCATATGGCCCTGGTGGCCACTCTTACCTACCTTTTGGGCAGCTTGTCAGAATCTTCCCTTTCAAAACTCCAAGGATGACTTTAGACTCCTTGGGACAAGGCCAAATTCCTCGAGGCAATCCTTTCCATCTCAGGGAAGCAGGGCTGGGAACCTTTGTCGCTGGTACAGATATCCCCACTCCTTACTCCCTCGAGGCGGGAGGTCAAGCTGTCCAGGAGCCCCATCAGAAGCAGCCACAGTGATCCTGCTGGCAGGGTGTGCGGTTTGGGTTCTGCTTGCACCTGGGACCTGCGTGGTATGGGTCACATCTCCAGCGGTGGCCTTGGTCTTTAGGATCATCCAGCATTTCATGGTGGGTGGACGTGGTTGACCCTGGTAGCCCAAGCTAGCGGGCAGAGGGGTGGTGAGACAAAGATGGAGGGAATTGATGGGCTTGCACCACTGTGCTTGGTAAGCTGCCTGACTGAGGTGGAAGAATGCTTACTCTATGAACTTGGCACTGTTTTAGGGATGTACTCTGTAGATGACCACTTTTTCCTCAAGAAGATATTTTTCCTTGGGTGTGACATCACCTCTCCAAACATGCTCACTGTTGAGCAACTCCTGCCTCTGGCACTGGTCACCTTGTGGAGCTGAGCTCAGCCACACCCAGGAAACTTCAGAGGTATGGGCTGGGAGGACCACAAAGTCCTGCTGGATTGCATCTGCCTCAGGGAAGAGCAAGGGACCTGTCCTAATGCATTTTGGGTCTGAAAGAAAATGCAAACAGTGTCTCTAACATCCAAACTGGGATGCATGGAAGTAAACTCAGCTGAGGGTCTGCAGCCTGAAGCCATCTGTCCGGCTTTGCCTCCTGCCCAGAGGGCCTTGGGAAAGCTCTTCCCCCCTGTCCCATCCCCACCAGGTCCAGGGCTGCTGGGTTAGACTCAGTGATCTGGATTGGCTTTCCAACCTTCCAGCTGGATGTGCTGCATCTCAGGTGAGCTCTGAGTACTCCTTGGTTTCCAGAGGGGAGCATTCACTCAATACCAGTTGTATGCTGAGGCCTTGAGCCAAACTGGATGAATGGGAGATTGATATGAGGGAAGGTCATACCTCGTACAGTCTTGTTTTGCAAACTGTGTGCCCTCGAAGGAACCCTCTGAATTGAAGCCGAGGGTAAATTTCTTCTGTGTTCCTGGAATGTTCCAGAAGCCTGCCTTGACTCACGGAATGGATACACAGGAAGGAGAAGTGTTGGACATGGTTTCAGATCTTGCTCTGGCTCTGCATACTTCTTGTCCAGGGAGTGTGCCAAGGCCTGTCAGGAGGGACACATACGGAAAGAGAGTTATGCTGAGAAATCATCACCCCTGAAGAACAATGGTGCAGGAGGCTGAGTACAGCGTGTGTTCTCTCCAGCTCGATGGCCCCAGGCCGATGGCTTTTCCAGGAGAAGGCAGGGAGAATGCAGGGCCATCAGTGGTCCCTGCCCCCCAATCTGTCCTCACCCCGCGATCTCTATCTTTGTCAACCTTCGTCATCATGGACCCGGATAAGAGACTTGGGTAGGCAGCGTAATTCCCAATTAGGGATTTTCAGTAGTTTCAGGAAGATAATTTATTTAGGTTGAATTGTTAAGGCAGATTGTTTTTACAGTATTCCAAGCAGTGAGCTTTCTCACAGGAAATATCAGACTAGGCAATTATAGTCAGGTTTTCCACATCCTTCAAGAGCAAAGGAAAGAGAGAGAATTTAAAAAAAAAAAAAGAAAAAAGAGAGCTTCCTTTTATTTTATGAAGGTCAGCAGTCAACAGTTGGAGAACTGGCAAGGCAGGGTGTCAAACTGAGCTCTGTTAACGTCCCTAGGCATCATGACAGTGAGTGCCCACGGTGACAGCTCCGTGGCCTAACCCCTCATGAGATCTCATGGTCTTCATGACTTGATTTTAAAAATGCCTGCAGATTAAGGCTGAGGGAGGTGGAAGAAGCCCCCCCCTCAAGCCTGGACACCTCCCATCCGCCAGGCTGACCGCCCAGAGGTGAAGACACTGGGGGGACTTCCTTCCTCTCCCCAGAACTTGGTATCCTTGTCGCTAACACCAAAGATTCCGCTAAGTGACTTCCCAGCGCCCCCAAGTCTAACCACACCCCTGTCTCTTGTCTTACCAATAAGGGGCTTGGCTGGGGCTCCATAGGAAGCCAAAGAGAAATGGGAACAGGAAAGTGAAAAGAAAAAAATATATATATTGTTCCTTCTGTGGAGAACTTAGATGTTTTAAAAAAGCCCCTTTCCATCAGCTAAGCCTTCAGGGATGCTACTCAGAAAGGCTTACTGCTTCCTCCAGCGTTCCTGAGGGCTGTTGAAATGCAGGGGGCTGTACATGGTTCCTGCTGGGAATACAGGGAAAAGAACACCATCAGCTGACCTGAGGCTCCTCTGCAGTGCTCAGGAGGGGTGGGTCTGTAGGGCCCAGGATCACTAGATATTACGGTCCTTACAGCCTCTCAAAGGTGGCCCACTTAAGGCCAGGGGAGACTCAATTAGTCAATGGCCTGTTGATATCCATCTTCTCTGGCAGTCATTGGTCCCTTGCTAGTGTTTGATCCTCTGTTGGGAAAGCTGGACTCTGTCCTGGGGGCTCTCAGGTTTACTTGTCTTTTTGCAGTGCCTCAAGGGTATCTCCTGTGTAACATTGTACTGGGCATGCTTATCTTCTTACCACCTCTAGTGGGGGTCCATATTTATATATGCACATGTATCTATCAAGTAAGAAAAAGCCTTCCCCTCCCTTGGGCTCGCTAACTTACTATTTTTCATATACAGGTACTCATTTTCTGCATCTTTGGAGATTGTTTTGCACTTTAAAATTTCCAAACTGTTGATATGTCAATAATATTATTAGATTTTCTACTGACCTTTATTTTTGTTGTTCGTTTATTTATTTATTTTACGGTGCTGGTGATCCAACTCAGGGCCTCACTCGTGCCAGGTAAGACAAGAGATCCCACTATTGTACGGCCCCCTCCATCCTTTTCTCAAATATTCTTACTCTACTCTTTGGTCACGATTTTCTCCAAACTCATGGTTGGTGCAGTTGTCTGTTGTTTTATTTCATATTTCGTAATTAGGTGTACAAACATTAGGTTTTTGGAATTGAGGTCATACTAGAATTTTCTCAGCAGACCTGAAGCAATTATAGGGAGTTGAGTTCTAGTCTCAGCGTGTACTTGGGTCTCACAACCATCAGAAAACTAATGTGCAAAGGAGCCTGACCTTAACCTTCCCTGTGGCTGGTACTGCAGGCTCCAGTGTCCAAGGGCACTACATTCAGAATGCAAATTGGCGAGAGTTTCCTCTCCTTGGTGAAACATATCAGTAAAACTATTTGTGTGTATGTTGCATATTTTGGGGTGGGAAATGGGAGTGAATTTTAAATTGATTTTTTTTAGATAAGTATAGATATTTTGTTTTGTTTTGTCGTTTTTTCGACAAGGTCTTACTATGTTGCCCAGGCTGGTCTCAAAGTCATGGGCTCAAGTGATTCCCGTCCCCTGGCAGTCTCCTCCTGGGTAGCTGGGACCACAGGTATGTGCCACCACACCTGGAAGTGATTTTTAAAACTGACTACAGATGGTTTCAGATTTTCTGTTTGTTCTTGAATCAACTTTATGATCCTTCTAGAAAATGGTCCAGCCTGTCAATTTTCAAATGCATCATTTGACCTTTTTCATATTCTCTCTTCTTACTGAAAACATTCTATTTTTAATGTTTGGTTTTATTCTTCCCTTGCACTCGTAAGATCAGTAATCATACCCTCCTTTTCTCGTAATCAATTTCATCAAAATTTTGTTCTTTATTAGTCTCTTCAAACAACAAGTTCTGAGGATTGCTGAATCTATTTATTATTAGAATTTTTTCCTCTTGTGTTTATTTTTCCTTCCTTTCTGTTCTCTTGGTTTGCCCTGTTGTCCTTGGGAGTTGGAAGCCTGGCTCCTCACTTATTTTATTTTTTTGATACCAGGAATTGAACTCAGGGGCAATTAACCACTGAGCCACATCCCCAGCCCTATTTTGTATTTTATTTAGAGACAGGGTTTCACTGGGTTGCTTAGCACCTTGCTTTTGCTGAGGCTGGCTTTGAACTTGAAATCCTCCTGCCTCAGCCTCCTAAGCTCCTGGGATTATAGATGGGTGCCACCACACCGGCCTGGCTCCTCACTTTTGACTCTCCATAATTGCAGGCACCTCTGTGCTGTGTGTTCCCTTCTATTTACCTCCTCAACTGCTTTCCACAAGATTTAATAAGTGTGTTTTTAATGCTGACTGCATTGAAATGCTTTCCAGTTTCTACTATTGCCTCTTTAAAATTTACTGATACTTAGGTTCTTTTGGGGACAGTGTAGAGGAGCTCTGTCTTTATTGCCACATCTTTTTTAAATGTCTTTACAATAAAAAATGCAGTTTGAAATCTTTAGAGATGTGATTTGTGGCCTGCTGTATTACCAACTTTCCTAGGTATGCTGTGTGTACTTGTCAAGAATATGACTTATTTAACAGTTGGGTCTATTGGATCAAGCTTATTATTTTGATGTTCAAATATTCTTTATTCTTATTCATGTTTTTTTCCTACTTGATCTATTATTTGATGAGAGAGACATGCTAAAATTTTCCATCATGCTTATAGATTGGACAGGTTCATTCTACTTACTTTTTGGTTCTAAGTTTTAAGATTCTGCTGTTAGGAGCATGGAGGTTCATGGTGGCTAAATTTTCCTATTGAAAATTTCCTTTTGTTTTTTCTGTAATTACTAGAGGTTTTACTAATGTTTTAATTCCAAAAATATTTTTATCTGAATATTTAAATTAAATAATTTAATACTTAGCTCTATGGGCTTTTAAGTGACTGATGAAAATGTGGCATATTTCTTTCCCAGGCTTTACAATGACACTTTTGTGTCATGTGTCTCTTGAAATGGCACATAACTAATTAGAAGCAAAAATCTCATCTGAGCATCTCCATCTTCTAACGGCAAAATTAATTGATGTTTATAGCAACACAATTCAGAGGGGCCAAGCTATGGAGCCAACCTAGGTGCCCTTTGACAGATGAATGGATAAAGAAAATGTGGTGTATATATACAATGCAGTATTACTCAGCCATAAAGAAGAATGAATGGCATTGCTGGCAAATGGATGGAACTGGAGATTTCATGCTAGGTGAAATAAGCCAGATTCTGAAAAAGCAAAAGTCGAATGTTCTATCTGATGTGCAGAAGCTAGTCCAAAATAAGAAAAAAGAAAGAAAAGTAAAGTGTGTGTGTGTGTGAGGCAATTCCACCAAAATAGAAGAAAGATAAATGGGGTAGAGGAGGGGATTGAAAGAGAGGGAGGAGGGGGAGGGATAGGGCTGAACAGTGCGATGACTCTGACCTCACTTCTCTGTGTGCCTATATGAACACACCACAGTGAATCTCACCATCTTGTGCATTCACAAGACACAGTGGGGAAAAAAAAAAACAACAGTAAGTAAATAGCAGAAAGATCCATAGAGTAGAGGGAAAGGAATTGGGGAGGGACGAGGGGAGAGGAGGGGTAAGTACTGGGGACCGAATAAGAGCAAATTTCATTCCATGCTTTTACAATTATGCCAGAGTGAATATTAAAGTCATGTAAAACTAAAAACACCCAATAAAATTTTTGTCTTATCATTACCCGTATACTTGAATTCATTTGTCCTGTTACATTTTACACTTTCGTTCTGCCACTCTTTTTCTTTATTTCTTTTGTCCTCCCTTCCTTTTCTTTTGAATTGGTCACTTAAAAAGGAACAGGCGAGTGGCATTTAGTGCATTCTTCCTGTTGTGCAACAGCTCCTTCTGTCTAGTTCTGGGATATTTTCCTCTCCTCTGTTGGGCATTGTCAACCCGTCCCTCCTCCCGCCCTCAACTCCTGGCAGTCTGTGATGCTTCACAGAAAAGGAACCATCTCAGATAATATGTGGCCTTTTGTGCCTGGCTTCTTTTCCTTAGCCTACTATGTTTGAAGTTCATTCACATTGTAGCAAATATCGATTATTTCATTCCCTTTTGTGGCAGGGTAATATTCCCTTGTATGGATAGATGACTTTTGTTTATCCACTCATGGATCAATGGACGTTTGGGTTGTTCCACCTTTTGCCTATCACAAATCATGCTGTGAACATCTATGTGCTTGTATTTATATGAGGCCTGATTTTCATTCCTCTGGGACTAGATACTTAGTAGTGCAACTGCAGAATCAGATGGTAATGGTTAACTTTCTTATGAAGTTTTATTTTA